ACTTGCCTTGCTCTTGAGCTGATGGGACCACTACGATGGATCAGGTCATCTCTGACGGGCTCATACCCTTATCTGTGATGGGTTAAGCACTGGTCACAGATCAGTGATCACTGATGACTCGGAGTCACCTGTGACGGGTAAAGACCCGTCAGAGGTAAGAGTTACCTTTGACGGATTGCAAATTAAAATATGTCATAGGTAACGTTCACCTGTGACGGAGGGGTCCGAATTGGGACCGCCATCTCTTCCTCCTATAGCGCCCGCGTCTTCGACAGATGCGGAAAAGGCGAAAGCAGCGGCAGCGGCGAAGGCCCTCCAGGTCAGAGATGCGATCCTGTCATCCCAAGCACCGGGGGCACCTTCGACCGCCGCCTTCGCCCAACCGGCCATGACATCGACAGCCTTCACCGCCCCGCAAGCCAACACCAGTCTCAAAGCTCAAGCCGAATCTGACATGGGGGCCATGAATCAGAATATGGCTAAACTTCAAGACACGCTTCGCCAGATGCAAGAGCAGCAGCAAGCGTACGAAGCAGCAAGGCAAGCAAAGGCCCACACCCAGCAGTTCTACGCTCAGCCCCAAGTCGTTCCTCCATACGCTGCACAAGCACCGGTGTACTTCGCCAAGCCTGCCCAAGTTGTCGCCGTGCGTCTGACTCCACAAGTGACCTCGGAGCCGGTTCGCCCGACGGCACCCTAAGCCCAGTACCCGAAGCCTGTTCACACGCCACAAGTAATGATGGAAGCAGCTTCGACCTTACAAGCACAATTTCAAGCCTTCTTGCAATAACTCAATCAACCCCAAAACAATTTACCAAGAACTTCGCCTTTGGCCCTGGCCGAGGGAAGCCCAAGTCAGGGTGCACCAGTGGGACAGCTGTTGGGCCAGTTCGCCGAACCAAGTCAAGCTCAAGGGGCTTCGCCTCAAGGCCAACCGCCACAGTTCGACCCAAGCACACCGGCCCAAGCACCCATGACTTTCGCACAAGCCGTACCCCCACGGTATGGTGCAGCCCCACCACTAAATCAAGCCTAGAATCAAGCCATGTTCGACCCAACAGTGGTAATGCAAGCTACTTCGACAGATCAGCAAAACCAAGCAATGAAGTTCGGCACGGGGCATCAATCGACACCCACAGCCCAACCTCATGTACAAGCTGTGGCTTCACCGTTCGCGCCCCCATACCCATAGTTGAATTGGCCCTCTCAGCAAGGGGCCATGGTCAAGCCGGGTGGCGAAAAGGGTCTGCCCCTTAGTTGGGGGATCAAGAATCACCCCATCCCCCCCCAGTTCAAGTTCCCTCCTGTTCCAAGGTATTCGGGAGAAACGGACCCAAAGGTGTTCCTCTCCATCTACGAATCCGCAATCGAAGCTACCCATGGTGACGAGAATAGAAAGGCGAAGGTAATTCACCTCGTGCTTGATGTCATTGCCAGGTCTTGGTACTTTAATTTGCCTACTAGCAGCATTTACTCATGGGAGCAATTGCGCGATGTCTTTGTCCTTAACTTTTGAGGCACCTACGAGGAGCCGAAAACACAGCAAGACCTTCTCGGCATTCGCCAAAGGCCGGGAGAATCGACAAGGGAATACATACGTCGCTTTTCGCAAGCACGGTGCCAAGTGCAAGACATAACTGAAGCTTCTGTCATCAACGTTGCTTCGGCCGGCTTGCTCGTGGGAGAACTCACGGGAAAACTTGCACGCAAGGAGCCAAGGACGATCGAACACCTCTTTCGCACAATTGATGGATACGCTCGAGGTGAAGAAGACACCAAGCGAAGACAAGAGATACAAGCTGAATATGACAAGGCGACTTCAGCCGCAGCCGCCACCGCACAGGACAACGCTCAAGCTCAGGTCCAAGCCCAAGTTGTAAGATCGGCGCCCGTCCTGGTTCACCCTACCACTCCGGCGAACCAAGGACAACATCCAAGTCCGAACCAAGCCTCGATGACATGGAAGAAATTCAGGACCGATCGAGCTGGCAAGGCAATGATGGCGGTCGAAGAAGTGTAAGCCCTCTGCAAGGAGTTCGCCATCCAGCAAGTGGGCGGACAGCAACAACCTTTTCGCAAGAAAATAAAAAAGGACTTGTACTGCGCTTTTTATGGACGCTCTTCGCACACAACCAAGCAATGTCGAAACATTCGGTAGGAAGGTAACGCTCAAGCGCCGAGGCAGCAATAAGGGCCAAAGAGGCACCGCGTGAAGCGGTCCTCAACCAAGCACCTCAAGCAGAACAATGCCAAGACGCGCAGCGAAGAGTGATTCAAGTCATCACCAGATCTTATCCCTCCTCACAAGTGTCGAAACGGCAGAAGAAAATACAACTTCAGACAGTGCATAGCATTGTTTCGGCAGGTGATGGGGTCCCAAGATACTTGTCGCAGCCAATATCCATCGGGCTGGAGGATGCCAAAGGAGTTCTTTTCCCACACCAAGACCCGTTGGTTGTTTCGGCAGAGATGGCAGGTTTCGAAGTCCGGCGCATCTTGATTGATGGGGAAAGTTCGGCCGATGTCATGTTCACCGGGACTTACGCCAAGATGGGATTGCCGACATTGGCGTTATCCCAAGGACCGACTTCGCTCAGAGGATCCGGAGGCGAAGCAGTGCAAGTCTTGAGACAGGACCTAAAGTCGCTTTCGGCACACAAGAGAACAAAAGAGAAGAGGAGATACTCTTCGACATTGTTGACATCCCATACAACTACAACGCCATCTTTGGCAAGGGCACTTTGACCAAGTTCGAAGCAGTCTCTCATCACAACTACCTCGAGCTCAAGATACCTGGCCTAGCTGGCGTGATAGTTGTCAAAGGTTCCTAGCCTTCGGCCGCCACAGTGGCCACTTTCGATAGGGAAGTCCGTACCCTACAAGTCGAAGGACAAGAAAAAACAAAGCCAATACCGAAACCCGCCCCTCACGGCAAAGTTGTCCAACTACAGATAGATGATTCCGACCCCACGAAAGTTATATCACTCGGTGGAGACCAAAGCGAACAAGAAGTGAATAGCATCCTGGTCGCGCTCAAGAAGAACATGGATATCTTCGCTTGGGGACCAAATGAAGTGGGGGGCATTTCGCCAGATCTCATCATGCACCATATCGCAGTCAAGCCTGACGGAAAGCCGAAGAAGCAGAAGTTGAGGAAAATATCGGCAGATCGCCAAGAGGCGACGAAAGCGAAGGTGAACAAACTGCGAAAGGCAGGGGTGATACAAGAGATCGACCACCCAAAGTGGTTAGCAAACCCAGTGTTGGTGAAGAAGTCGAACGACAAGTGGCGAATGTGCGTCGGATCTCAACAAGATGTGCCCGAAGGACGATTTCCCCCTGCCACGGATCGACTAGCAAGTCGATTCGACCGCCGAGTGTGAGCTCATGAGCTTCTTGGATGCATACTCAGGATATCACCAAATTCACATGAACTCGACAGATATTCCAAAAACAACCTTCATCACACCCTTCGGCACCTTCTGCCATCTCAGAATGCCTTTCGGTCTGAGAAATGCAGGGGCTACGTTCGCCAGGCTGGTATACAAGGTCTTTGGATCCCAATTGGGGCGAAACGTCGAGGCCTATGTTGATGACATTGTTGTGAAAAGTCACAAGGTCTTCGACCATGCATCAGACTTGCAAGAAACTTTTGACAACCTCCGTGCAGCTGGCATGAAGCTGAATCCAGAGAAGTGCGTGTTCGGCGTTCGCGCTGGTTAGTTGTTAGGATTCCTTGTATCCGAGTGGGGGATCAAAGCGAACACCAAAAAGATCGATGCCATTCAGCAAATGAAGCCACCATCGAGTATACGACAATTACAAAAGCTCGCGGGGCGAATTGCGGCACTCAGTCGATTCTTGTCAAAGATGGCTGAAAGGGGCTTGCCATTCTTCAAGACCCTTCGAGGGGCAGGAAAGTTCAGTTGGACACCTGAGTGCCAAGTAGCCTTCGATGAACTTAAGCAGTATCTCCAAAGTCCTCCAGCTTTGGTCAGCCCAGCGGCAGGAAACGAACTGTGGCTCTATCTAGCAGCTTCGCTCGTCGCTGTCAGCGCAGCTTTAGTGCAAGAAACCGAAGCAGGCCAAAAACCAGTATACTTCATCTCCGAAGCCCTCCAGGGGGCAAAAATCAGATACATTGAAATGGAAAAACTTGCTTATGCCCTAGTGATGGCTTCAAGAAAGCTCAAACACTACTTACAAGCCCACAGAATCGTGTAACCTTCGCAGTATCTGAAAATAAATAAATTTACATTTTAAAATATAAAATTACAGTCCTATGTAACTAAAATTATATTTGTAAATTAAGTTGATATGGCATGTAAGTGCACTGTAATTTTGATAAAAATAATGTGTAAGTAAATATGTATTTTTTATTTTCTTTTGTAGTACGTTAGATTTAAATCTAAAGGTAGAAAAAATATGGGTGATTTTTTTTTGTTAGAAATCACACGACAAATAGATAGACAGTTCCAGGAGATCGATTCAGTTGTGTGGCGCGTGAGACTCTCTTTGGCAAAAGACAAAAATGCCTAAAGAACAATGATAGAAAAGAACTATCATACCCTAATGAATTAACGGTCGAGATCATTTCTACTGGTAGTATATACTCGTAGTAGACAGCACCGGAGTTTCACTCTAATGGAAAAGTGCGAATACGTTGTGCGTTTTGAATTTGAGAGTGTAACGAGCGCCTGAATGTACATGTAGTGGTGTGGAAATGGTGCTTGCAGTGTGTAGATAGAACATTGCTGACGAATTAGATGAAGAAAATAGGAAACCTATTTTGAGATGACGACATTCGATCGCTCTCTTGCTGGAAGGCTAAATTTTCAATGGATCATAATTAACAATACAACAATGCAGTGTGCTACTTGGAAGCGTGCACCGTGGTCCGTGGTGGCTCATCTAAGTCATAACATGTGGCCTTTATGATACGGTGCTATTTTTATTGCTGAATCATCCAAAACCCCTATACACGTTGAGTTCGTTCCAGCTAAAAAAAAAGACATTATCTAAAATATAAAACATTGAGTTCGATCCAGGTATTTACAATTCGAAACATTGAGTTGTTCAACCACTGCCACACAACAAGCAATATGTGCCCAAGCAATATGTGCCGGTTGGGAACCTCACAAAGGTGCCGAATTTTCCAACCGGCACCACGAAGGCAGCACAGATTAGAAACACTCAAAACCAGCACCTTTGAGATATACGAATTGAAAAAAATAATAATAAAAATAAGAATAATAAAATTCAGCTCGGCTCAAATTGAACCGAGCCGATGCATCAAAGCAACCAAAAAAAAATCCAAAAATCTCAAAAAACAAATCCGCTGCTGGCACCACTGCCGCTGCACACTGTTGCATGCCGCCGCCACTCATGCTCCGCCCGCTGCCAGGACTCTGCGCCACCGTCGTCGCTGCCGAGACCACCGCGCCACCGCCATCGCCACTGGATCTGTGGAGAGGAGGAAAGGAATCATCAGTTTCTGAAGATTACGAAAGGAATCATCAGCTGAGAAGGACCCAGAGAGAGAGCCTCCGCCGGGCCGCCGTCTCTCCTCCCGCCACCTACCCCTCCCCCCGTCGGATTTGGTGGAGAAATTTGGAAGAGAGGAGAGAGGGGATGAGTAGGAAGACCTTGACGACGTGAAGAGAGGCCAGCGATAACGCCCAACGATGATGAAGGGTGGTGCATTGACAACGCCATGATCAATGAGGCACTGACATGGCCGACGCAGTCCGTCGACACCCTTCATTGACCTTCCATGCCCGACGACGTGGAAAAGGGCGGCGTGGCGCGGCGAGATCTGGATGGGAGGTGGGAGGCTAGGAGAGGAGGTCTGGGAGGGAGGAAAGGCTTCACAAGAGAGAGAGAGAGAAACGCGCGAGAGAAAGGTGGGAGACCGGGCGAAATGGATAAGGATGTGTGGGCGAGTGGAGGAGACAATGATTTGCAGGCGAAGTGGATAAGGATGTGCGGGCGAGTGGGCTCGCCGGCTCGGCTCAATTCGTATGTGTCGGTTTTTTTAAAAAATTAGCACCTATAATATGTTGTAGGTGTAACCGACACCAATAATATATTAAAGGTTCCGGTTTCTTTTTAGAAAACCGGCACCTATAATTACTTAAAGGTATCGTTTTTTTTACGTTTTCAACCTGTGAAAGTGGGAAAAGATCTATAGGTGCCGGTTTTAGCAATTTCGGAACCTATAGTACCGACACCGTTTTGTAGTAGTGTCCGGTGGGTGCATTGGGAATATGAGATGCTGACCAACGCTTGAATGTATGCTAATGAACGGTTGCAGAGTATGTATAGAAAAGTTCTGGAGAGTACTTCGAAGAAACTAGAAAATTCACATTAGGATAAGGACAATTGATCGGCAAAATAGCCATTCACAATAGTGAAAGAACTATGATCATATCGAAACAAGTTCTGATGGAAAATTTCGTGTTGGATGAGTTATTAATGCTTTCTTGCCATTGAACCATTGGTGTTAATTTATCCTGCTGTTGATTACGTTCATTTTTTAAATGCTGGGTTTTCTTTCTTCATCTTAGACTCAACCAGTAGCTGCGTGCCAGCTGACACGAGACCAAGGTCACAAGTAGGCCAGACAATTTCTGGTGACATCCAACTTTATTTCCTTGGGCGGGGATCAGAAGAAATGCTCTTCCAAGGTGTATACTTGTACTGGTTGTACGTGTACAAAGCAACCTATGAAAAATTGAAAGCAATGCTCAATGCATTGCTCTCCATTAAAGAGTAAAATATAAGTGGTATCTTCAACAAAAAACTTCTGTGATGCGTTCATTATAATATTGAAGACAAATATTTTTTGGTTCTCGCAAAGAAATAGAGCGTGGCTTCAAAATTCAATGTCATCTTCCAAAAAGCCAATTGTACAATTTATATGTGGAAAATTTAGTCACTGCAGCAAGTTCAAATGTGCTGAAATTCTTTTTTATTTTTTAAAATTTTTAATTTTTAAATTTTAAAATAAACCATTTCAAAACATATTTTTAAAATAAAAAATGGTTCAGATACTAGCAATAACTTTTGGAATGGTTTATTTTTAAAATTTAAAATTAAAAAGTTCAATAAAATTTAAAAAATCCCCGTGCTGGTAGGAATATGTACGCATTGAAGTATTGAAGTATGTACTAACAAGAAATTTTCTACTCTCAAACTCATGATGCCAAAGTAAATATAGATATCTTGGATACTGAAAGATTTGTTCAGCTAGCGGCAGAAAATTAGAAGATTTTTGGCACATGTTACCGGTGCCCTCTCTTATGCAGTTTGAACACAAACAACTTTTACATGGGTGAAAAAAGAATTGATGCACCCAAGAATGTCCTATTTCTCCGCAAAAAACTCTGACAAAGATAGGAAACTAATTAATTAACTAGTTATCATCAGCGATCTCAGATGCACAAGCTACGCCTCTTCCGGATGGTCAAGAGGCCATTAACACACTTAACAGACGAGATGACACATTGAAGCTACTGTGTCTTCTCTTAATCTCTTTACCATACAGACATCTCATTCTTATTATGACCACTAGCCGCCCACCCGTGCGTTGCACGGGCTATCATTTTGATATTATAAGTATTAAATTAACCACATTTGCCTCTGATTAGTGGCTTGACAACCACCGGATGTTCAATGTTGGTTATTTTCCAAATTAAAATTGTTTAGATTGAAGAGTCTAAAAGAGCTCATCCTCCAGTCAGAAAATTAAATTTCCATATTATTTTCCATCTGTATGTTTTATTTAACACGAACTCCAGTAAAATCTATTGTCAAGATAAACTGACCTATTTGACAAACATTCAAATACTTCCAGTAAATATGTGAGCTTTCTTACAGTGCCCAATTGTTTGGATTTAATATGTTTTGTTATTTTCATGAAAAGAATTATAGCGGTTTAGATTAAAATAAGAGTCCATGCAACTTCCTAATTATGTATTTTAAATTTAGGACTAAACTAATAAAATAATATATTGATAGTCTAAGATGGATACAACTTCATATTCACTAATTATGAATTTTGGAATTATCAGTCTTTATGCAACTAAAACAAATGAATCCATATATACATATAGTTTATTTCAAATGTAGAACTTATTGTTAACTGCCATTTCAGCATATAGAGAAGAACAATTAGATGATATTGATGTGGTCTTCATCTCGTAGGGGTAACTGAAAATCTTATATGTGGTGGTTATTGTTCTTAACGCTAATTATGTCAAGGGATCGAATTAATTCCTCATCGAATTAACAAAGATTTAACACATTTCAATGATATAAAATTCCGTTGGAGTGACTTACTATATGAAGATTTCAGAGGAAATTTTACATGAGATCCACCTCTTCGAATTTTCCTTCGAGTGTTTCGCTCTAATTCAATTATTGTATTTCTCTCATAGCTTATGCGAACATTTATTCATGCATTTTATTGTGTTTGTAATTCCCTCCTTTACATATGCATTCTTGTCAAAACTTATGTCTCTCACGTTCTTAGTTTTGCTAATCCTATGTTGCAAATGATGGTGTTGACTAAAGAGAAGTCCATATTAGTTACAACTCACTAACTATTATTTTTCAATTTTACAACTGAATTAATAAAATACTCTCTCTGTTTCAGGTTATAAGATGTTTTGACTTTGGTCAAAGTCAATCTGCTTTAAGTTTGACAAAGTTTATAGAAAAATATAATAACATTTATATTATCAAATTAGTTTTATTAAATTAATAATTAAATATATTATTATAATAAATTTATTTTGGGAGAAAAATATTATTATTTTTCTATATAAACTTGGTCAAACTTGAAGCAGTTTGACTTTGACTAAAGTCAAAACATCTTATAACCTAAAACGGGGGAGTACTAAATTGGAACTCCAAGATGAGTACTCTATATTTATTAAGTGGATTAGATTGAAAAAAGTACATTGTTTTTGCAATTACCCAAAAGTTGTACACACACCACACGCCCGTGGGTTTGCTTTAACACACGATCAAAGAAACAGAGGTCAATGACAAATCGCTAACTCAGTAAATTCTTTTGAAAACATGTTCGCAATAATTTGCTAATTATTAATTTCAAACTTCATAATTATATTAACAAAGTGCTAAATTGGGAGTCCATGACAGATAAACAATAATTACTTTTCAATTCAAATGAAGAAATTTTTAAGTTTGTTAAACCCTAAGAAATAAATTAAAACCTATTTTACGGTAGCCAAAATAAATAAACCCTTGGTGCACTGTACAAAATTTGGTATAGCTAACTCGATTGATATGCTTTGATTTGGATTTGCATAGATCGATCTATTGCTTTCTGACCTCATTATTTAATATTTAATTTGGTTGGATCAAGTCTTCGTCAGGTTGATGCGGTACCTATGTATGCACTGTTTCTGTAGATTTCGTCAGGGCAATTAGCATGGCTGATGGATACGAATTATTGAAAGAAGTGACATGAAACTAACTGTTGGATCAAGTATTAGTCAGGTTGATATTGCACATATGTATACCTTGTTTCTGTAGATTCATCAAGGCAATTAATATGGCTGATAGATAGAAACTGTAGAAAAGAACTGACAGGAAACTTACTATATATGGTTAGACCACCAAATCGAAGTTATTACAGAGGCTTCTATTGGATCTGATTGAGATTCATCCTCTTAATTGACGCAGTAGCAACATCGTCATGCACAACGAAAATTTTTATCATGGATCTTGCCGGCCGGCCGTGACGTTGTTGATGATTTCAGATCGATGTGAGAGCGCTTGATTCTATCTTCTGTTGCGATGGCCGGATGGCGTTAGGAAGTAGATCGATCTAAATAGTATTTCCTCCTCGTCCCTCTCAGTATTAGTTTCTGAGATGTGGTTTAACTAAGGGTGGCCCACGAAGTTAACTAATTAAACATAAATCAGATTTTTATTATTTACGGTCAGGATAAAATAATCTAACTAATCAACGGTTAGATCTTTCTGGTTAACGTGGGAGCTAAAAAAAAGTGCCCAATTAGTATAGGTATAGATAGATAGATAGATAGATTTCTAAATACAAGCAGTGGATGATTGAGAATAAATTGAAAATATGAGGTGCTAAATATCTGAGCTCCTGGTTCCGAAGAAGTTCCTTGGCAGAGTATATATTTATATTCAAATTGTCTGTTGTACTCGATTATTAGATTACCCAAACTTTAGAAGCTTATTGAAGCTGTCGATTCCTACCATTTTCCCATCAAGTTTACACAATATTGTCAGTACTCTGATCTCCTCGTGGTTTAAGTGGGCTGGTCCTGTACCCATTTGCATGACTATATTGGAGTTGTTGGGTCTACAGAGGAACCTATATGTGTAGATTTTTTCTATTTTTCTGTCCTTAAGCACATGCCTTGCAACACCATGGTTACTGATCACGGTTATTATATTATATTAGCGCGCTACCCTCAAACGCATGACATATAATTGTAAGAGTTAGCCAACCAAGATATGGAGGGCATATGGTACTGTTTTTCATCCAGAGTTCTCCCATTTCTACTGCAATTCCTACCTTAAATTTACAAGTGTGAATTCATTGTTTGTCGTCATGGGTGCCTTCAGAAATTGAGACAGTGAGCGCTTGAGGGGTGTAGAAGTGGTGCTAGGATATACTCCCTCGGTCCCACTCGCTAGGGCATGGTCAAACTTGGCAACACAAGACTTACTGATCACGGTTATTACATCGTATTAGCGCCTACCCTCAAACGCATGACAAATAATTGTAAGAGTTAGCCAACCAAGATATGGAGGGCATATGGTACTGTTTTTCATCCAGAGTTCTCCCATTTCTACTGCAATTCCTACCTTAAATTTACAAGTGTGAATTCATTGTTTGTCGTCATGGGTGCCTTCAGAAATT